TTTGGGAATCCATTCGTTATGGAGTAAAAACTTATCTTCATATCCTCAAGGAAACGTCAAAGGCGCCTCCTACAGGTGTCACATGGAGACGATATTTCTGCCATATGCAAGGGCAAGATTTGGCAATAACTGTGTGTTTCAGGATGACAATGCCACTGCCCCTAGTGCGTGTATTGTACAGGATTATCTCGACCAGGATGAAGTTACAAGATTGCCATGGCCAGCAAAGTCTCCAGATTGTTATACCATTGAGGACTGTTGGGCGGAAATGTGCCAGAAAATTGCTAACCACGACCCTAAACTAGCTACTGTAGCCGAGTTGCAGCGCCTCCTAGTGAACAGTTGAGAAGAAATCACGGTGGATTACATTATATACCTCATCGACAGTTTGCCATGTCTCTTGCAGAGGTTATTAGTGTACTGAAATATTTAATATAAACTGATATAAGGTTACAGATGCTATCTATAATAAATTGATGTTATATTTTGTTATTATATATGTTTTGCTTGTTTGTAATTAAGCACAAAGATATAGAATAGGATATTTGTGCTCTGCCCCTCACGGGCATCGAAATCCGGTTTTTAGCGTTAAATCCTACAGATATACCGCTGTGCCACTGGGGGACTATATGTTTTGGTAAGATTTTGTTGTGATAGAAGAAATGCTAAGTTACATATCTTTCTAAAGCGATCTGACAAATTTGTTTGCTCTTCGAATACATCATTCATGATTTACATAGAACCTGTCTCATTATACAAATTACACATGTAGATGTTTCATATAACATAGATTTCCGAGTTTAATAACAGTAAATGTATTTGTATTCCAAGATTGTATTACACTTGTGTCATTATAACATGTCCTGAAATAAAAAAACATAAAAGACCTATTCTATCTAATATTTTGACGAATTTCGATATACAGCATTCAGTTGCCTTTTTTCTTTTAAAAGATAAATGAGGTCAAAAACATATAATATTTGACAATCAATGTTAGGGAGCTGCGACAAGCCTTGACAGAGGAAAGGAATGCATGCCTCAAGGCTACATCAAAAGCATCGTCAAACGTATGCCAAAAAGTTGTCGAGAGTGTATACAAAATCTAGATTGTCATACCTTTTACTACAGGTAAAGTTTGACCTTCAAGTTTGCGATCCTCTTGTTTTCAGGATGTATACATTACATGGATTACAGTTTCGTTGTCAGGGGTATTATTTTAAAATGTCGTAAGTTCTTTGGAAAGTGAAAAATCAAAGTTTTGGCTCAGAAAAATTCACAATAAAAGTTTTTTTTTTTCGTTTTAATTAACATTTTTGTTACCTTCGTTACTTATAGAATCGTTAAGCCTCTGTCTTTTTCGTTCTCCTCAGGGTATGTATTAATTTAAAATATATATATAAATGGCACAAAGTATAAGCTCCGAGCAGATGTCTTAAAAACAAAACAGAAGACTGGTGACTCACATTACCAATTTAATATCTAGTTCCTTGATAATTGAGAAAACCACACGTTA